AGGGAGTAGCGAGTGGAGATCATTGAAACAAGCCACCTGTGTTGTGTGTGATTTTTAAGGATGCCTGCATGGCACACCAAAGACAAGTTGTGAGGTACTTGACAAAGAACTTTTTACCTGGAACCCACGGATCTTTGCATCTCCCTCCTTTTGTTTTGTTTTTTCGACGTTGCTCCCTCCTTTCGTTATCACCAGAGCTCCATCGGCTCGCCCTCCAGCTCCGCCTTTGGTGTCTCCAGAGCCTTCGGTTTAGGCCCAGCTTTCATCTTTTCCCTGGCCCATCTGTCCTCTCGCCGGTTGAAGCCCGTCTCTGCATTCGACGGCCTCTTCTTTGGCTTCTCCTCGGTCTGGTGGACGATCGTGAAACCAGGAGTCTCGAAAATCCGTGCGTAGTCGTACACCAGAGCCTCTCGCGTGGAGACCGCCACCCCCTCGTATGTCCACACCTCGATGACTGCCTCGCCTTTAAGTCCCAGGCCCACCCAGCCCAGTCCTGCGACCGCGATATCTACCGTGCTCGCTTCCCAGTCGTCGCCATGGACTCGAAACTTTTGAGATACGAATTGTCCCTGCTCGATCCAGCTTTTCAGGCTCGAAGGAGGCTAGCGATGGACAAAACCGGGAATTAGACAACAGGAAGTGGACAAAACCAGCAAACCTTGAGCTCCACGCCGATATGCTTCTTGAAAACATCGAGCGCACGCTCGGTCTTTCCCATGTGCAACGAGATGAAAGGTGACGCCCACACTGTCATGTATATCGTGCGGGCAGGAGCTTCTAAGAGATCCAGTCTCAGGTATCCTCCCACTTGGATGCTGTGGCCAACCTACATTGATACTACAGCTTTAGAACGTAGGAGACCTCAGCGGAAAACGTTACCTTTATGCGGAAGGTTCTGGGCTTGAGCTCCTTTCGCATCTGGACGCTCTTGAAGTCCTCCTCGTTGAGACGCATCGTGAGCTGGTGCGAGTGGAAAATGCCGGGCGTGTCGTAGAGCTTGATGTTCTGCGGGAGGATCCCTGTTATCTTGAGGATTCCGATCGTAGTCCCTGGATGTGCCGCCTCAGTGAGGCGGCTCTCGTGCTTCCCAACGTTGAAACGTGCCAGAGCATTGATGAGCGAAGATTTCCCAGCGTTCTGAGCTCCGACAACCCATACGTCGCCTCGAGGCCCAGCAACTTTTGTGATCCTCTCGGTCAGTGCCTGTACACCCCAGTTCTTTGTCGCGCTCACAAGATGGACTGCAGTCGGCCGAGGAGCTCCGCCAATGATCACCCTCTTCCTTATCCACTGTTCCAGCCGCATCGGTGAGAGCTGCGGGGGTAGCAAGTCGACTTTCGTTGCAGCGACTATCAGTCGAGGCGAGTTACCGGTAAATCCAGTTCTGTAAGTAGCAGCCATCTGTGCCTCAACCTCAGAGATCAACTTGGCAACTTGTCGAGGAAAAGAGCCGTCGAAGTCTGATGAATCGACGACCATGAGAACGACGGCTCGTTTACCATAAGCTGTTTTCAAGCGCTGGCCGACCATCTTGTCAAAGTCGAACGTCGGGAGTAGCGTCTCGGCTGTTTTCTCTTTCACGCGCCCATAGTACTTTAGCGAGTGGCACCGCGCGCACACCACAAGCCGTTCCTCAGACGGCTTCTCGCGCTTGAACGACTTCAACATATCTCTCCGTTTCTTCCTTTCATCCGCCTCCTCAGCCCCGTCGATGATATCCTCCCATGTCTCCTCCAGACTCTTCACGTCATTCTTGTGGTAGTCGCTCGGGGGAGTGAACTCCCGGTACTCCTTCTCTGTCATCTCTCCTTTGACGAACTCGAAGTAAGAGTAGCTAGAGTCAGCTTCTTTCTTCTTTTCCGGCGGCCCTGGCACTGGCTCTCCGCAAGTCGCTTCTAGCCTCGCCATCTCTTCCGGAGTAATAACATCTCGGTCAATCTGGACGTCGAGCTTGATAGGAACTCTAAAGTATCCCGGCTGCAAGGGATCCGTGTCTTGCATGTAGACACCACATCCCGGACAAATCAACGCTGCATCACCATCTTCCGCGTCGGCACGAGCTCTAGGCGGGACTGGATACGCCGGAATGTAAGCAGCTATTGCCTCCTGACGAGCCTGCCTCACAATCGCGTACTTGTCACTGGCCGGATCCTTCTTCAGTCCTATGCGTCTCTGGCTGCGAGATAGAAACGTGTTCCCAAGCCCCGGACGAAGTGTTTGAGAAGCCGGAGGCTCCACCACCGTGAGAGCGTCGACCACCGTGAGCGCATTCACCACTGTCAGTGCGTTGGAGCAGAACGCTCGTCTCGCCACCCGGAATTCTCCCAGCCTAGGACGTCGAAGTTTCATCCCCTGACACTGCCCAGGAAAACTCTGGCACTGAGCACGCCTGACGAGATCGCCCATGACGCAAAACGACGCTACCCTGTTGTGCATCTCTGCCTAGTTCCTCTCTACACCACCTTGTTCTTCCTCCACTTCTTCTTATTCTTCTTCCTTGGTCTTCCTCTTTTCCTTCTCTTTAGTCGTAAGTTCCACTCTTGGGGTCGGGTCCAACGTCGCGAGAGCCACTGTTCACATAAGGTCCTCTCATTATAGCACTTCTAGAGAGCGGCTTGTTTGCATCAATGATTGGCGCAGTCTTCCATTTGCTGCAAGCATCAAGAAGCATGAATCACAGAACGTATCACGAGAACAACACACACTACAAGAGAAAAAGCAAAGAAACGAGAAAAAAAAGAGAGAAAAAACTCCAGACACAACAATCACCGAGGATAGCATCTAGACCTCGAAATATCATCCCTCGGATGAATCGGAGGCCAAGAACGCAAGAATCCACAGGAAATCATCCAATGCAAGCGCTATGAATGCGTTTCCAGCCAGTACCTGATGAAGAATGGAAGAGCTCCCATCGCCAGCGCGAAGGCGGCGAACCCTAGCCCCACCGCCGCATTGGCGCTCCTCGACCTCGCCATCGCGAAAATGCTCTAGGGTTTATGACAAGACTTACTATAATCCCCTGTTTTTCTAGGGCTCGCGCGATCGATCGAATGTGAGGTGGATGCGATCGCGGCTCAACGATCTCGCCGCGCGCATTCGCCACTGCCGCGTCTTGGAGGAGGGCCAGGCATTGCACCGCGAGATTCTCGCTTCTAGCGGCGCCATCGATTCCACTTACTTGGCAAATCTCCTGATAGCGATGTATGCCAAGCTCTCTAGCATCGGCGACGCCAAGCGCGTCTTCGATGGGATCCAAGAGAAGAACGTCTTCTCATTTACGATGATCGTCACAGGCTTTGCCCAAAACGGGCATTACAGTGAGGCGATAGAGCACTACTGGAGAATGCTACACGACGGTGGCGCTCTCCCGGACGCTTTCATCGTGAGCTCCGTGCTAAGCTCGTGTTCTTCGCTGGGGTCTCTCGTGGAAGGAAGAAGGATCTACGAGGCTATAGCGGAGGATTCGCGGCTTTCACAGGATACCGTGGTGAGGAACTCTTTGGTGACGCTGTATGGAAAGTGTGGGAGCTTGGAGGAGGCAGCGAAGATCTTTCACAGCACTCCAACGCCGGATGTTGTGACTTGGAACGCGATTCTTTCGGCTTGCTCGCAGCAAAAGAATGGTCGCGAGGCACTAAAGTTTGTTCGAGCGATGCAGCAGCGAGGAGTGAGGCCTCAAGCCGCGACTCTTACGTGCGTTTTGGATGCTTGCTCCAGCCAAGGTGAGTGCCAAGAAGGTGAGAGAGTTTACGAGAGTGCTGTAGCTTCTGGTTTTGTAGAGTGTGATCTTCTGCTTGGAAACTCGCTTATAACGCTGTATGGGAAATGCAGGAGGCTGGAGGATGCGAGGAGGATTTTGGATTGGATGCCTTTCAAGGACGTTGTCTCGTGGACGATCATGGCTGCTGCGTATGCTCAAAATGGCCGGTTTTTGGAGGGTCTCAAGCTGCTAGAGGTGATGGACTTTGAAGGTTTTGAGCCGGATGCTGTGACTTTTGTGAGCGTTTTGGATTGCTGTGCGAATTTACAGGACTTAGTCCGTGGGAGGCTTATACACCAGCGTATCGAAGCTTGTGGTTTGGAGCTCAGCGTGACCGACTGCCTTGTCAACATGTATGGGAAGTGTGGAAGTTTGGAGGAAGGAAAGATGGTTTTTGATAGAACAGCCGGGAAGAATGCGACAGTAGGTTTGTGGAACAGCATCGTAGGATCGTATGCCCGGCTCGGGCATGGTCATCAGGCACTGCAGCTGTTTAGAGAAATGGACTTGGAGGGAATGAAGCCGGATAAGTTGAGCTTCTACGCGGCTTTTGAGGCGTGTGTATCCATCCGAGGCTTGAAAGAAGCAAGAGCACTCGACAGGAGCAGCGGAATCGAGGGTGATATTGGTTTTGAATCCGCAGTTATCAATCTCTATAGCAGAGTTGGAAGCTATGAGGATGCGATGGCGAAGTTTGAGAATATGTCTCAAAGGGACGTGGTTTCGTGGAACGGGATTATAGCAGCTTTCAATCAACAGTTTCGTCCTGCAAATTCGATAGTTATGTTTCGAAAGATGGAGCTGGAAGGACTTAGAGGCGACAGATCAACTTTCACGAGTGTTATCGAGGCCTGTGCGTGTTTACCGGATCTAACTCTCGGTCAGCTGCTTCATTACAGAATGATCACTCTGGGATGCGAGCTAGACACTGTTCTCGGCACCAATCTCATCAACATGTATTCCAGGTGTGAAGTTCCTGACAAGGCAATCGAAGTTTTCGACGCCATGCACGACAAGTCAGTGGTTGTCTGGACCGCGATGATCGCAGCTCATTCTCAGCAGGGACAGGGACTGGAAGCTCTTGAGCTCTTCAAAAGAATGGACATAGAAGGAGTGAGAGCTGACAAGGTAGCGTTTTCACTCGTTCTCGACGTTTGTGCTAACTTGGCCGCGCTAGCTCAAGCCAGGATTCTTCATGCCACTGTTGCCGGGACGGAGCTCGAGCAGGACATGGTTGTGAAGAACACGCTAGTAAACATGTATGGGAAGTGTGGGAAGCTGAACGAAGCAAGGCAGGTCTTTGAGAAGATGGCTTCCAAGGACATGGTTTCGTGGACTTCGATCATAGCAGCGTATGCTCAACAGGGAAGTGCCAGTGCTGCTTTCGAGCTCTTCCACGCGATGCAGCAGGCCGGAGAGGCCATCGACACCGTGATCTTCGTCAAAGTTATGAGCGGATGCAACCATGCCGGGCTGCTCAAGGATGCTCGCAACTGGTTCGTCTCAATGCTCCAAGACTATGGCCTCTCTCCAGTGAACGAGAACTACGCTTGCATTCTCGACTTGCTGGGGAGGCTGGGACAGCTCCAGGACGTGGAGGACTTGCTAGAAAACATGACGCTGGAGCCGGACTTTATCGCTTGGATGAGTTTTCTCAACGCTTGCAAAGTCCACAAGGATATGAAACGGGGTGTCCGAGCAGCTCAGCGGCTTGTCCAGCTAAACCGGAGGAACTCCGCTTCGTACGTGCTACTTTCGGACATCCACGCAGTGTGTGGGAAGTTTGATGCCGCCGCGAAGCTGAGGAGACGGATTGGTCGTGACTGCGGGAAGAAAGTCCCCGGTTTGAGCTGGATCGAGATCAAGGACAAGGTCCATAAGTTTGCTTCCGGAAGCAGGACTCATCCTCGAAACGACGAGATCTTCGCAGAGCTGCAGAGACTCGGGGTGCTGATGAGAGAGGCCGGCTATGTTCCAGACACGGAGGTGGTGTTGATGGACGTGGAAGAGGAGGAGAAAGAGCAAGTTCTTTGCTATCATAGCGAGAAGCAAGCTATGGCTTTTGGCTTGATATCGACACCGAGTGGAACTCCTCTCCGGGTGGTGAAAAATCTCCGGGTTTGCACCGATTGTCACACGGCTACCAAGTTCATCTCCAAGATCACAGGGAGGCAAATCACAGTGAGAGACGCCAACCGGTTTCACGAGTTCAAAGACGGGTTTTGCTCATGCAAGGACTACTGGTAGTGAAAGAGCTCCTCGAGGTAATTGCACTTCTTTTAAGTTTTTTCCATTTTGATTCACTTGGTTTTGGCCATTTGGCAGAAGCTACTTATGCCACTTACAAGGACACTTGTCGTGCTTGGAGCTCGAGCGCGAAAGCTTGGAGTTTAGAGGTGAAGTGGTGTGAGCTCTCTCGATTGAATCTAAAAGTTCTCAAGGTTTGTTTCTCCAGGTTTTGATTGTCCATGGAAAAGTCACTCCCAGACGCTCAGAAGAATGCCTCGCCAGTAGCGCCAGAGGCGAAGGATTGCCGCAAAGAAAAGAAAGATGTGGATCCAGCCAAGGACGAGCCCAAGAGCTACACGGTCGTCTCGCATCAAGGTAATGCTGACACTAGCAGCACGAACTCTCCCAGTGATATCCTCGTCTTCCAACGTACCGTCGCGAAGACTGACTCTTCTCTCGAGTAGCGAAAGCTCACATCAATTGGTGAGAAGAAAAAAATTCGATCTTTGAGTGATCGATCGATGGTATCGTGAAGTTTTCTAGCTTGGTTGGAAGAAGAATGTGTGATCCATCATGGATTCTTCTCGAGAGTAGCAAAAGCTCACATTGGTGTCCTCTCTGATAGCTCCTTGGTTAGCTTGTGCTGGTATTTGCAGCTACAATGGTAAAAATGTAGAGGAAAAGAGTTTGAGCGTGATTGATCCATGGTATCGTGAAGTTTCCAGCTTTGTTAATGATCGATCGATCGATGCAAAAAAGAGAAGTTTCAAAGAATAGAACCATGTAAAAAAAAAAATTGTTCTATATAACAACGAAGTTATTGACAGCTGTGGGATTTGAACCCACGCCCTAACGGATTGGAGCCTAAATCCAACGCCTTAGACCACTCGGCCAAACTGTCAAGTCATGCTTCAGGGACACGTAGAAAAACAGAAGGCCTGTTATAGCGAAATGTTTAGTGCTAGAACAGCCTTGACAGGCCGGTGGTCGGAGCTCCTCATCGAATCTATGGAAGTGTAGTCGTGAACGTTGGCGGTGACCCATCCCGTGTCCTTTACTTTGAAGAGGATTCTATCCGTCCATGAGGGAACTCTCTCCTGGATTGTAGATCAAAGTTTCGATTTTGGAGAAGAAATGAAGAACAGTACCTTCGCACTAGTGTCGTAGTTGTCCGTGCCAACGTCGTATTTGTAAGTTGGTCTGAAAGTTAGCGGGCCTTCGCGAAAGCCAGTGAAGATCCTCCCGTGTCGGGCTTCTCGAGAGAGCTGGTCTCTCGACCACAAGAGCTGGAAAAACCAAAATGGTTCCAAGGACGAGATATGAATGGAAGAAAATACCTTTTCCAAGTTGTTCTTGATCAAAACTCCCACGGAGGTTCTATGCCCGACGACCCTGTAATTTAAATCTCCCACCCAGATGACCAGGTCCGACTCCTCCACTGCGTTTGCGTTCTTGAAGGGCTGTTGCTGCCGCTCCTTGAAAGCAAAGTCGTCTGCCACAATGCCGGTGCTTGTTTGTAGGCAGGCGCAGACGGTGGAAGAGTATGGCCTCGCAAAAACGTTCTGGCATATCCGTGTGTATTGAGAGTTCCTTGCCTCTACATTGCCTTCGTGAGCTGCACTGGAGCGTTGGAAACAGGATTAGGATGAAAGGCGATTCTACTCAAAGGGGCTTACGAGCAAGATGGCAAGAGAGGAACAAGAATGTGAGGTCCCTGTAACGCAACGTGACCGCCGTAGCTCCTTTCTGGCGGCCTATTACTCCTCCAAATCCTCCAACTCCAACTTTGTCACTTCTACAATCTGACAAAAGAGATTAAAAACCAAAGATCCAAAGATCCATGAGAAAAAGTTCGGCTTTAGTTTGATACACTTTACCTGACATGAATGGCAACAGTGTAATCTTCACGAAAACAAAGAGCTGCAAGGATGCCATGATTGAGGAGGCAACCAGGCTAGACAAAAGGAGATAATGAAAAATTAAACTGTGGAAAATCTGTGAGCTTCTTACCAGTAGCTTTCGCCGAGAACCTCCAAGAAAAACGAGTCTACGTAGCTGCTTGGAGCTTCTTGAAGTCCAATCACGTACAAATCGTACTTTCTGCCACTGGAGTCATCCAGAAGCCTTGCAAGATCATACCGAGGAATCTAGAAGCAAAAGGAAAACCTGTAAGAATGAACGATGTAAAAGAGCAAAAAGTGTTACCTTCCCGTTCATGTTCCAAGTGACAACGTAGATTTCCAGGCCTTCCCTTTTCTCGCTTCTGAATTCCACTTGAGGAGCTCTTTGCTGCAAAAACGGCTTCATCTCCGAAAGATCATCTCCAAACCGAGCGTCAATCTTTTCCCTGTGCGAGACAACATACTCCAGCGAGTCTGGTCTGCCCGCTGTCGAAGGCACTGCCGACTCCTCATCGATCAAAATTCTGAGAGCCTCCGCATCCTCCATCTGTATGACATCCAGAAGCCTTGGACGAAGCTTTGTCCACCGGTGTGCCATCCGCGAACAGAGATCGTCACAGCAGTCGTAGCAACAGGCCGAGCAGGAACAGTTCCCCATCACATCACCACACTTCTCTCGTCGAAAGCACACCATAGCTCGCAGCTTCCAACTTCGCTTCCAGCATCTCTCACGCCGAAGAAAACCAAACTCTCCTCTTTCTCCTCCAAGGCCGGCTGGAACTACTCTCTCTTCTGGGGCCGGCTTTTGTGATCTAGATACGATTCGAGCGTAGCAAACGCGAGGAGCCTCTAGCGAAATGCGACAAACAGCCGAGAATCCTGCTCCTAGTTATAGACAAAGCCGAAAGTTAGACCACAGTGTACGTATGAAAAACCTTCAGAAAAAGATAGAAAAAGTAAAAACAACGAAGGAAAAACAAGAGCAAGGAGTTCCGTAGCGTACCTCTTTCAGGTGCCTCCCAGAGTAGCCAGGATCCAGCGACGGTATTCTCCCTGGTTTTTCATGGTCTTTCTCCGCACATATGACGCATCAATGAGGGTCATTCATTGGAAAGAAAGCCGTCGCCATCGTCTGGGTGTTCAATGGGACACCTAGCAAAGCGACCGAGAAGAAAAAAAAAACAAAAAAACAACGTGAGAGAGAACGAACGAGAATGAAAAAAATCGGAAATATCTCCTTCATTGGCCCTGATCTCTCTCATCTTTCTTCCTTAAAATCTCTAAAGTTTCTCACGAATCTCATCTCTCTCGTTTTTTTTTTTTGGCTAAGTTCTCTCACAAATGTAAATTATCTCAGTCGCTTTCGCGATTCTAATGCAGCAGCCAGCGTCCCAAAGAGAGCAAATGACGAGATTCAAGCGCCATCACTGTCTGTGGCGTAATGCCATCGCCAGATCTCTTTTTCTTCGTCCCCAATCTTTTCTTTCGCTCTTTCTTTCTATTCTATTTGCTCTGGGCAAGATCACTCACCTCCAGGCGCCATGGAATCCTCGAAAAAAGAAGCTTCTTTGCTCGCGCCAGCAGCACTGGCGGCGCTGCGCCTCCATTCCTCGAAATCCGTCCAACGGCCTAAATGACCTAATCAATGGCCACCGCAGGACGACAAATCCTTTTTATCAACGCCGAGTTTTGGCGCGCACGATCGTGGAATATACCCCAGGAAATTTGAAAAGGGCATCTCTTGTTTTAACTGGAGAATCTTCCCTCTCTTCTTGGCGCCTTCCGTGCCCTTGTCGTACGAGCCCTATGGCGTTTTGGTTCTCGGCTCGAGCGCTCTAGCTAGGGTTCTTGTGGCGCGCGATGACGGCAACGGGAGCGCCAATCGTGACTAAGGAGATCGTATCGGTGAGTTCTCGATCTGATCGCTCCAGCTTGATGGATCCAGCTGAGTTTTTGGTGTGGAAATGTAGCTCACGGGGCTTGGGATCGGGGCTCAGTTTGTCGGATTTTCTTTCGTCACCATGGAATCCGAGAAATATATCTGTGTCAGGGAGACTTCGCCACAGAACAGTCTCATGATTGTGGATTTGAGCGTACCAAAGCAACCGTTGCGTCGGCCGATCGCCGCGGATTCGGCTTTGATGAATCCTTTGGGAAAAGTTCTCGCTCTTAGAGGTAACCACAGCTCAATTCTAGCGTTTTCTCTAACATTTTTCTCATTCTTTATTTTTTTGTTGATAGCACAAGAGCAGCTACAAGTTTTTAACCTTGACACCAAGGCCAAGCTAAAAGCTTATCAAATGAACGAACAGGTCTGTCTGCAAGCTGGTGTTATGCTTTTCACCTCATGCTACGTTATGTGAAGATCGTCTTTGGAAATGGATCACACCGAAAATCATTGGACTGGTGACACAGGATGCGGTTTATCACTGGTCTATTGAAGGTTAGTGTTTTTCTATGATCAGTTTGGTTATTTCCTTTTATTTTTTTCCTGAGTCAGGGCCGCCTGAGCCGGTGAAGATGTTTGAGAGAGCGGCCAATTTGAATGGCCACCAGATCATCAATTATCGCTGTGACCCCACTGAGAAATGGCTTGTTTTGATCGGGATTGCTCCAGGCCCTCCGGAGGTACGCTTCGTTCTTCTAGAGGCTTGTTTTGATCGAGATTGCTCCTGGCCCTCCGGAGGTACGCTTCGTTCTTAATTTCTTCACTGCTAACGTCAACTTCTATCTGCAGCGTCCTCAACTAGTGAAAGGAAATATGCAGATTTATTCCGTAGACCAAAAGCGAAGTCAGTCACTTGAAGCTCATGCTGCGGCATTTGGATCTTTCAAGGTAATTGCAGATACCGGGCTTAAGGCACGCAATGAAAGGCTGTAAGTATATTGATACCATATGTTGACATTATCTAAACGAGTTTATGCTTCTACAGCTTGCCGCAAATGACGCTGCATCTGTTATTATATCTTTTGCATCAAAGAGCTATTCCGGGGCCCAGGTTGTGTCAAAGCTGCATGTAATCGAACTTGGCGCACAGACAGGTTTCATTCATTTTAATACTAGTTCTCTACGTATTAAGCGAGTTGCTTGCAGGTAAGGTTGGGTTTGGGAAAAAACAGGCCGAACTCTTTTTTCCTCCCGAATTCGCTGACGACTTTCCCATTGCAATTCAGGTATATAAGGCTCATAGCTCGTAAACGTTACGTCTTCTTTTTTTGTTCAGATGTCTCAAAAGTATGGTGTTATCTATGTCCTCTCGAAAATGGGACTTCTTTTTGTCTATGATTTGGAGACTGCTGTTGCCGTGTATAGGAATCGTATCAGCGTAGATCCCTTTTTCATTTCTGCTGACGCTCCTTCAAATGGAGGTTTTTATGCTGTGAACAAACGCGGCCAAGTTCTCATGGGCACAATCAATGAGACGACAATTATTTCTTTCATCAGCGATCAGGTAGTGCAAAACTTTCAACAAAAGAAGCATTCATTTGTGATTTTACAGCTAAAAAATATGGACCTTGCAGTAAGCCTTGCAAAGCGAGCGAACCTCGCTGGAGCTGAAAAACTCGTAATCGTTGGTTCAACATTATTTTCCGTTTTTGAGTGATGTTTCTGTAGGTCGTGCAAAGATTTCACGAGCTAGTTTCGCAAACCAAGTACAGAGAAGCAGCAGACCTGGCCGCCGAGTCTCCTCAAGGTGTTCTTCGAACTCCTGAAACTATTGCAAAACTTCAGGTGGGCATCACAGTATCATGGTTACCCTTATAACATTCATTAGTTTGATGTTGGCAGCTGATCACTGTTCCACCTGGGCAAACTTCTCCCTTGCTTCAATATTTTGGCACCTTGTTAACGAAAGGTCGCTTAAATGCATTCGAATCTTTGGAGTTGTCTCGACTGGTTGTAAGTCAGAGCAAGAAACATCTGCTGGAAAACTGGTTAGCGGAGGACAAGCTGGAGTGTACAGAAGACCTGGGGAACCTCATCAGGGTATGCTTGATTTACTTTATTTCTATAGTCTTTAATGATTCTAGCAGGGGGTTGATGCCGAAATGGCCCTGAAAGTTTACATTAAGGCCCGAGCAACGGCAAAAGTTATTGCTGGATTTGCTGAGAGAAGGGAATTTGATAAGATATTAATCTACTCCAAGCAGGTTTTAATATCGCTGATATCATAGTTCTTGTATGAACTCTTACATTGAACGCCAGGTTAACTACACGCCAGACTATCTTTTCTTGTTGCAATCAGTATTAGCCATCGATCCGCAGGTAGATTCACGATTCGTTGTGGTCCTCATCTAAGAATTACTCTGTGCAGGCTGCAGTAAATTTTGCGTTGATTTTATCTAAAATGGACGGTGGCTGTCCAGTTGATTACAACATCATCATTGAATTATTTCTCCAGGTATGTTCTCTGTTTCTCCTTTGAAAAGAAATACAATGATGAGCCAACATTTTAGGTGTTCTTTACAGCGCAACATGATCCGGGAAACTACCGCTTTTCTTTTAGATGTGTTGAAGGAAAATCTTCCGGAACACGGGCTGCTTCAAACGAAGGTCTAGTATTTTCTTTTTAGTGAGCATTTGTTCATATATTCACAAGACACGTATGCAGGTTCTCGAGATCAACCTGTTGACATTTCCTAATGTGGCAGAGGCCATCATGGCAAATGGTGTTTTCAGCCACTATGACCGATCTCGCATTGCTCAGCTTTGCGAAAAGTCCGGGCTTTTCATGAGAGCACTTCAGGCACATCTAGTGTTTAAAATATTTCACTGACAGTAAAAAAACTATTTCTTGCAGCATTACACAGAGTTGACGGACATAAAAAGAGTCATAATAAACACCCATACGATGGATGGTCAGGTAAGTAGTTTTAAGATGCTTAGATTAAGTTTGACATGGCAGTGCAGGCATTAGTCGAGTTCTTTGGCACACTTTCAAAAGACTGGGCGTTGGATTGTATGAAAGAATTGCTCCTGATTGATATGCGACAGAATTTGCAGATCGTCGTGCAGGTACTTCTGGCAAAGTATTTTGTGCTTTGACAGTCTTGCCCGTTTTCAGGTGGCCAAAGAATATGCAGAGCAACTTGGAGTCGAACATTGTATTGACTTGTTTGAGCAGTTTAGATGCTATGAAGGCATATTTTTCTTCCTGGGAGCGCAACTTGCAAAAAGGTGAGTAACGATGGTTCTTCATTCTATTACCGTAACACGTCTAGTCTCCAGTGAGGACGCCAACGTTCACTTTAAGTACATCGAAGCAGCTGCTAAAATTGGTCAGCTGAAAGAAGTGGAACGTGCAACAAGGGAATCGAAGTTCTACGATGCAGAGCGAGCTAGGAATTTTCTCATGGAAATACAGCTTCCAGATGCCCGTCCATTGATAAACGTCTGCGACCGCTTTGGATTTATCCCCGAACTAACACATTATCTATACTCAAAGAACATGCTCCGCTACATTGAAGGCTACGTTCAAAAGGTAAATCATCTCTTCGTTTTCCTAAAAATTCAACTTTGCGTTATCGTACAGGTAAACCCAGGAAATGCACCACTAGTTGTTGGCCAGCTTCTTGAGGAAGATTGTCAAGAAGATTTTATCAAGAATTTGGTGTTTTCTATCCGGTCTCTTGTTCCCGTAGAGCCACTTGTGGCCGAGTGTCAGAAACGGTGAGCTATATATTTACATTATTTCTTTGCATTGTCTAATTTGTGAAACAGGAATCGACTGAGGCTGCTCACTCCATTTTTGGAGAACCTGGTCTCTGAGGGCAGCAAAGACGTAGCTGTGCATAATGCCCTTGCTAAGATTGCTGTGGATACAAGCAACAACCCTGAACATTTTCTCACCACCAATCCTTACTATGATTCTCAAGTCGTGGGAAAGTACTGTGAGAATCGGGATCCTACGCTGGCTGTTATTGCATACCATCGGGGCCAGTGTGATGACGATTTGATACATGTAACAAACAGAAACTCGCTATTCAAAGTTCAAGCAAGGTATGCTCTACTCGGTTTTGCATTGATCAGCTGTTAACTTCTTTTTCAGATATGTTGTGGAGCGCATGGATCCCGAACTCTGGGCAAAGCTTCTCAATCCAGACAACTTTTATAGACGGCAGTTTATTGATCAAGTCGTTTCTACCGCTCTACCTGATACTCGAAGCCCCGATCAAGTCTCAGCTGCTGTGAAAGCTTTTATGCTAGCGGACCTTCCGCACGAGCTGATAGAGCTTCTTGAGAAAATTGTGCTCCAAAACTCGGCATTCAGCGACAATCCAAACCTGCAGAACCTCCTTATACTCACGGCCATCAAAGCAGAGAAGTCTCGAGTTATGGACTACGTAAATCGTTTGGACAACTTCGACGGTCCTGCAGTGGGGGAGATTGCTGTCGGTGCGGAACTCTATGAAGAAGCATTCACGGTTTTCAAAAAGTTTTCCCTGCACACCCAAGCCGTCAACGTTCTTCTCGAGAACTTGCAAAGCATCGGGCGAGGTGTTGACTTTGCAAACAGGGTGGAAGAAGCAGATGTTTGGAGGCAAGTCGCCAAAGCTCAACTCAAAATTGGAGCGGTTGCTGAGGCTATCGATTCGTTCACTCGTGCAAAGGACACGACGCACTTCAGTGAAGTTATCAAGGCAGCAGAGGAGGTCAAAGCTTATGATGATCTTGTGAAGTACCTCTTGATGGTCCGGAAGAGCATCAAAGAGCCAAAAGTCGACTCGGAGCTGATATACGCCTATGCAATGTCAGATCAACTGAGCGACATCGAAGATTTTCTCCTCCAGTCGCACGTCGCCAACTTACCGAGCGTTGGCGAAAGGCTCTACGAGGATGGTGCTTATCAGGCTGCCAGAATCATCTTCACTCAGACTTCCAACTGGGGCCGGCTGGCGACGACGCTCATAAAACTGAAGCTGTTCCAGGACGCTGTGGATGCATCCAGGAAAGCTGACAACTCCAGAGTATGGAAAGAGGTCTGTTTTGCTTGTGTTGATGCAGAGGAGTTTAGGCTCGCGCAGATTTGTGGACTGCACGTTATTGTCCAGGTACGTTTTTGTTTGCTTTTTTTCTCTTCTATCTTATTGCTGAGTTTCATACTTGTAAAAATTCAGGTAGACGACCTTGAGGAAGTCAGTGACTACTATCAGAAACACGAAAGGTGGAAAGAGCTTATTGCGTTGATGGAGAGCGGCTTGGGACTAGAACGCGCACACATGGGAATTTTTACTGAGCTAGGAGTGCTGTATGCGAAGTATCTTCCCGACAAGCTTATGGAGCACTTGAAGCTATTCAGCGCTCGCGTCAACATCCCCAAGCTTATTCGAGCGTGCAGCGAGCAACAGCACTGGAAGGAGCTAACCTTCCTTTACATACAGTACGACGAGTTTGACAATGCTGCAGCGACTATGATAGCTCATTCTCCAGAAGCTTGGGATCACACGCAGTTTAAAGATATCGCTGTGAAGATGGCGAAGATCGAATTATACTACCGGGCTATCACGTTTTATCTCGAAGAACATCCAGATCTTCTCAACGATCTGTTGCTTGTCCTGTCTTCTCGTGTCGATCATACACAAGTGGTGAATCTTCTCAGAAAGGTACAAGGCGTTCTTTGGCTGTTTATCTTAATCTATGTTTTCTGCTGCAGGCTGGTCACTTGCCTATGATAAAACCATACCTGGTGTCGGTTCAAAGCCACAACCTTAGCGCAGTGAACGAAGCACTCAATGCGTTGTATGTCGAGGAAGAAGAGTTTGACAAACTGCGGGAGTCTATCGAAATGTATGACACGTTTGATCAAATCTCGCTAGCTCAACAAGTAAGAAATCTTCGTTCTTCTAGATAGAATTCCTCATATCATCGTTTCCTTGCAGATTGAAAAACATGAGCTACTGGAATTTCGTCGCATCGCAGCTTTCATCTACAACAAGGCTGGAAGGTGGCGGCAGTCTGTAGAGCTTTCAAAAAAGGACGAGCTGTACAAGGATGCCATGGAAACTTGCTCGGAGTCTGGGGATGGAATGCTAACCGAAGAGCTACTCACATTCTTTGTCGAGCAAGTAAGTTGATTTCTCGCATACATCATTTATAAAACTAAACTTTGGCCTCCAGGGGAGACGGGATTGTTTTGCCGCTTGCCTATACATTTGCTACGATCTTGTAAGAGCCGATGTGGCCTTGGAGCTGGCATGGATGCACAAAATGCTGGATTATGTCGTCCCCTATATGATCCAGGTATCGTTTTCCTCGAAAAGGCCTTGTGATGGAACTTAGATATCTTTCAGTTCATAAGGGAGTACACAAACAAGGTAGACGAGCTCATGAAGGACAAGTATGACTCTCTCCAAGAGCTGCGCTCCAAGTCTAGCGAAGACAAAGATATGCTCTCCAAACAGGTATGCTATTAGTTTTCACTGCCATCTCTGGACTTGACATGGTTGTGTGTGATGTAGAACTTGTACGCGCAGCTTCTTCCACTGGCACTGCCGGGACCGACCGCTCCCGGAATGTATGAAATCCCGTATGGAATGTCTCCGCCGCCACCGCCGCCTTCCACTTCTTTCGCTGGTATGCCACCGATGAGCTTCTAACTTGAAACTTCGCCCGAGAGCATCGAGAGAGGAATTCCAGACCTCGTTTCCTAGACCCAAGGCCAAGTTATCCAAAAGAAGAGGTGGTGATCACTAAGAATAGATAGAATCCGGAGTTTTAAAATTGTTTCCAGTTTATAAGCTAGCTGGCCAAGAAATTATCAAACTGAACAACTCGACAAACTTGGACTGGACAAAAGAATAGTGGCTAAGAAACCAAATATGACTTGATGAAACATGGAGCCTTCCCACGTAGCACGACAAACTTGGACTGGACAAAAGATTTGATCAAGGTGTTTTGCACGTCAATGCCGCGACTATGACTTTCTAGCACCAAGATTGTGTAGTGAACTCTCCTTCGAGCATACCCTGGGAATCCTGGCCCAGTTGCCTCAATGGCGTAAAGGGCTACTGGAATGACCTTGACCACGTAGCTTTTCTCTCCAGACTGTAACCACATTGTTATGTGTATGCCTTTGTTTTGATCACAGGTTCCCTGTTATAGAGGCATTGTTGCAACGGCCAAACACCGTGACTTGCGTCTTAGACAAATTGACTTGCATGCCTGCCCGTATTAAAGAGACGCTGCATGGCGCGGTATCCGGTGCCACTAGAAGAAGATCATTGGCGTACAGGAGGAGAAACAGATACATTCCCAGAGAGTTGTTAGGTTCGATCATGGTTTCGAGCGCCCCGATGTAAATGGCAAAAAGGTTGGAGACAATGGGCATCCCTGCCTAACCCCACTTGTGAAAGGAACCGTGTCCCCTCTGGAGCTTCACTAATCGGTATAGCTCGACAACCACAGCAATCAATGGTGTCGGAGCGTCCAGTTCCAAGAGCTGGGAGATCAAAAGGTGGCGAGGTACCAGGTAGAAGGCCTTAGCAAATCCAACAACAGTCTCATAAGTTCCATTAAATGTGCTGGGTGACGATGTGATCCAGACAGGAGCGTATTGAGTATGAGTGGTATTCCATGGAACGCCTTCAGAGATGCGACTTTGGCTTCCATCAATGCGAACAACTGGCCGACGCACACTCGAGGGCCGAGGGAGAACGGCATGAAAGCGTTTGGGGATACTTGGAGGCGTTGAAGATGCCATCTTTGAAGCGTTCTGGGTCGAAATCGCTGGCATCTGGTCCCCAAAGTTCCTTGCCGTGGCGAATTGCTAGGCCTGGGAAGGCGACAGCACAAGTCTTGCACCCAGGTATCTTGGAAGCAGGCTCTGAAAAACGCTATGACCGGTGGATACAGGCGCAAGGTCTCGTTAAGTATCATTCCTACCTGTGAATCGACACCGAAAGAGTATTGGAAATCACAAACTTTTAAGATTTTCTCGACTTGTAACCAGCTTGAGTTCGCTGATCTTATCGGCATCAATGTGGTGCACCATCCTTCTATATTTCCTGTACTTCAGCACGAGCACGTTCCTGCCAATCGGGATAAACAGCCAGCAGCATCATAGTCCAGGATAGCAGCGAAGCCGTGGATTCATGCCCGGCAAGTCCAGATTGTCACAGGAACAGCACCCAATCAACATTCCTTCACTTCCGGTTCTGACAATGGATCCTGATCAAATGGATCCATCACGTAGCATCCTTTTTGGACGATTTGCAGCCCGGGCCGGGCCTGTGAAGTGCCTCGTCTCAGATTACTTCAGCAGTTGGTCACAGGATGTAAGAGTTGCTCTTTGATGCAGCAACACAATCATTGGACGAAACTTTCTACTATCATCTGCCTTTGCTCGCCTCCAAAGTCTACTACCCTCTCAAAGGTAAGCAGTTTGATGTAACTTATGGTTGCAATGCTTCTACCACCAGATCCGCACAAATCCAGCCCAATTACGTTTTGGCCTCTGCTCCGGCCGTGTTAGGTTCCTCTTATTTTCTAACAAGTGGGTCCCTCTATACACCTTTTGTTTCTGCTGCGAAAGAGGACCTTTTGCTTTCTGATTAACAGCGTCGAGGAGCTCGAGCAGGCTCTTGTCAATGCACACAGGTCTGAGGCTATTGAATCCCTTCAACCAGATATTGAGTTATGACGAGGTCCAAATTTTGCAAATACTTACCAGTTCCCAGGCAACTGGAATATTTCCCGAGTTTACAAGACTTGTTCCTCCAGCCCAACAAGCTCAATGGAACCATACCTGCGGAGATTGGACAGATTCAGTCTCTTGGTTTCTTAAATCTGGGAAACAACAACTAGCTTGGATTTCATACTCACGCTTGGCTTTCAGCAGGTCCACTGAGAAAGCGAAGCATATACGGCAGGAGGTTTGAGCTTGACGCAAAGCGCTTGTACATTCATGCCCTACCGCTTGTACCTGCGGCTGCACTGCATCTTTCGCAAAAAACGAAGCCAGCAACATCTGAACAAAAATCTATTTACATTTACCAATAAACAATAAACAATGTCAGTTTCAAAAAATGTGATTTCGTCGCGCGGTCAATGCCCTAAACCCGGTCAATCTCCTAAACCCTAACACGTGGCGTGCCCCAGCCTTTTTTGAACCCCCTTTTGCCGCGTCTACTTAATGTTAGGGCATGAGGCAGCTGAAGAAGAGCAACGACAAGGCGAGGCGCGGTGCTGCAATGAAGAAGCTGAAGAAGAGCAACGACAAGGCGAGGCGTGTTGTGAGAGGTTTGGAGGGTGAATCAGAAATCAGTGCGGCTGGCAAGGCCTTGATCAGTCTGCCACGCCTGGACATTGCAGTGAGGGGGAAGGAGTGTGTGCTTTTGCTCTTCACGGAGGAGTCTGACGACGATCTCTCGTGGCCGCCGGTGCTGGCTTGGTATCCAGAGGAGCAACTGGTAGGAATTGTGTCAAACAGGTTGTTGCCGCGGGACTTCATTCCTATGGCCTCCTGCTCGGGCCTCCTCTGTGGCTTTCACAGAGAGGACGTCTTGTCTGACTGGCTGCCGGGATGGCCACCATGCCCGCTGCGGGTGGCCGTGTGCAACCCTCGCACGGGATTCCAACTAGAGCTCCCCGTTCTAAACGTGAGCGACAGCGCCAACGATCCAGCATCGGCGCACCGCTTGGGTCAGATCAAGCTGGAAATGCGAGGCAACCAGGAGCAATTTAGCATTCACGTCCTCTGCACAGCACGCGGAGTTCACACCGTTTACACTTGGCACTCGAGCTCCCAAGTCTGGGGATCGTCAACTAGTAAGCGGGATACCGACGGGGAATCTTGCTGGGGAGCTCATATTTCGGGATAGCAAGTTGCAGGCTTATGATCTTCACTCTGAAGCCTGGACCGCAATTCCAATTCCAGGTGCCAAAGCCTGGAACGACTTCCCGCTGCCACAAGGTTTTGAAGGCTACTCTTACCACAGAGTGGATCCTTTCCGGTACACACACAAGGTGATAGTGGTCGGCCAGTGCGAAAATAAATTACCTGGGGGCATTGTATTGCTGGAACTGGAAGGAGGAGGAGGCGGGCCTCCGGTGTGGAGGCCGGTGGCGTGGGCAACCGCCGACCAGTTTGCAGATTTTGGGACACCGCCTCCAGCATATTTAGTCGACTGGCCTCTTCAAGGTGGCGATTTGGTAGTCATGCGCGCAGCAACATGCTCGATGCTGGATAAGCCCGTAGCTCTCCATCTCAAGCATCATAATTGGCTGGAACTTCCCGCAAGCGTGTGCCGCCTCAATCTCCAGGCCGTCTGCGTCTACAACCCGTAGAACTCGACGTCAAAAGGAGAAAGAAAGAGCACGAGGTGTGGAGCTGCTTTGTGTGTGGGGGTTGGGGAGGGACCGGGGGAGCTGCACAAGCATCGGCAAGCGCAACCTCCAGGACCCTCGGTCTGGCTTTAGCCGCTAGCAGGAAGAAGCGACGGTCTTGAACCATAATCTGGTATATAGTTCACTGCTCTTCAAGTGGACCATATGGAAGAGGTACACACCATTGCGCTTGCTTAGTTTTGTGTAGCATTAGGTAGCATCATGTCTTGTATGTACACCAACTGAGATTGCTGCCGTAGCAATGCTTTGGTCAGTGGCTGGATAATTTATGCAAACAGAGCATATAATTGTATGCGGATTTCAAAATGCGTGCCTGTATTTAATATAATACAGGCAAAACCAAAATACTGATCAAGTCTGTAAGCTTCTGGCTGATCTGATACATAATTCATCGCTAGTTCTTGCAGAAGGATGTCGAACTCGGAAAATACTGACCGAGAGGTAAATCTTTTTTCCATTTGAGTTTGGAGGATGTTAACCGCTAAATATGGTTTTACCGCCTCCATGTTCACGAAGATATCAGAACTCTTGCTGGTGCCTGAGATGTCCGAGAGTAGCAGGTATGACTATTCAAGACCCATCTCCATTCAAGGTACTAGTTGGATTTCTTGTGACAGATCATGCCGGTGACCATTGCAAATGGAGTTGCCTCTTGATGAAAGATTTCCTTGAGGCCATTGCGAAGGAACTCTTCAAGAAAGTAAAGAAGAACGCCAACGCATTCATTCGATAACTTCAAGCGGATTCAGGTGTTGTCCCCAGGTCGAGCCACTCAGAGTCAATGTGCTCTTCCAGGCAAGCAGCGTCCAGGCAAACAAAAAGATTCAAGCACTTACGATACTTTGTGGACATCGAAAATGCTAGCAAGAAGCACAGAAAGACGCACAATCTCGTTCAACAGGGGCCAAAGGATGGAGGATGGGATTTGGATGATATTAAACTGGGACACATCACTCTCATTGTGCTTTCTAGGTGCCTGCGCGAGCCTGAAAGTAGGAGCTACACAGGCAGGTCCCTGGATTGGAGCAACGGCAGTTCCGGGCATGGTGCAGAACGCGATTTTGGAACAGGTATGCAAATGCGGGGGCATGCACTGAAGGTCTTTAAGATAATGGGCATCTCGAGCTTGGAAATTGGAAACCACAGCCCACTAAATCGGGATATGGACCCAGCCCTCAAAGAACAGAGTAGTAAGCATGAATGTGAAAGGTGGGAGTTTGCTTGCAACTTGCTAAGAATATGCTCCAAAACAAATCTGCTGTTGCCGTGTACAGCAGCAAAAGATTTCAAGCAGATGGTTGAAATCTTGTTCTGTCTGATACGTTTACCTTATCCCGCACAAGTCAACTGCCGACTGTAAGGCCAACGGCTGCTTCGTACCCGCCCAGTCAACGCGTGGGCAACTGATCCACGTCTTTGACTGGGGGGTCAACGGCGAAGTTTCATGCTGAGGGAAGGCCCCCTCTGCAACCCCAAGACTTGCAGCCCATCTTTACGACGACAGAGAAAACACAACATTTCCAAGGGCGACTTACATTTGACACAGCCTCTTGTTGACATATATGATCAGCATTCAGCACCGAGGTCCTTGTTTCATAGCGTGTTGAGTATGAGCGGTAGTCCATGGAACGCCTTCAGAGATGCGACTTTGGCTTCCATCAATGCGAACAACTGGTCGACGCACACTCGAGGGCCGAGGGAGAAATGAAAGCGTTCGGGGATGCTTGCAGGCGTTGAAGATGCCATCTTTGAAGCGCTCTGGGTCGAAATCGTTGGCATCTGGTCCCCAAAGTTCCTTGCCGTGGCGAATTGCTAGGGCTGGGAAGGTGACAGCGGCTCCTTTTGGAACAAACAAGTCTTGCACCCAGGTATCATGGAAGCAGGCTCTGAAAAACGCTATGACCGGTGAATACAGGCGCAAGGTCTCGTTAAGTATCATTCCTACCTGTGAATCGACACTGAAAGAGTATTGGAAATCAAAAACTTTTAAGATTTTCCCGACTTATGCTTCAGTTTGCTGATCTTATCGGCATCAATGTGGTGCACCATCCTTCTAAATTTCCTGTACTTCAGCACGAGCACGTTCCTGCCAATCGGGATAAACAGCCAGCAGCATCACAGTCCAGGATAGCAGCGAAGCCGTTGATTCATGCCCGGCAAGGTAGAATGTCTTGCATTCGTTCTGTCGCTGATTCTCACTCTCGCTCTCGGTCAGCATCAAGCCGAGCAAGTCATCGCCATAAGACTTGCTTCCTTGTTTAATCGTCTCCCGGCGTTGAGCAATCACCCCAAGAAGTACAGCCTCCAGCTGTTTTTGAAGCTTGAACCAGAGCGTGATTACCAGAGAGCCAGATCGAACGACGCAAAATCGGTCAATTTTGCATAAGCCTGACAGAGGCTACTACCCGGTATGATCCAGCGATAGCGGGCAATCCTGTTGAGTCGCTCTGTTATGATTTCAAAAGCCCTCTGACCGTTGGCATAGTTGCTTCCAAATAACATCTGCAGTACTAAGCTTATATTTAAGATCCTGGCAAATCTCCACTTCGGACTGCTGCTGCATCATTTTATCCCACCTGTCAAGCATGCATGTCGGACGTGCAATTCACCATCGCTCCAACCATTTTCTGCACAAGCAGAAGCAGTAGTGGTCATGGAAGCTTAAGCAGCTGGGTTGCAGGACGATCTTACCTTGAGCTGCTCTTTGAGATAAAATGCTGGGAGATTCCGACACAACGCGTCGGTAATGAGCCCATTCATCTCCACGAGATCCTGGCGGCAGATCCTGGGCATGCATGCGCCTTCTGTGGATTCTCTCACCAAAGCGGCAGTACTGAGATTGCATCGAGCCACAAGCCACCATGAGAGAGCTTGCCTGGTTTGGCTTGGACAACACCACTCCACTCTACCCTGGTTCCAAGTTCACCTCACATCATTTGGAACCACGAATATTCTCTAATTAACAATGGGGAAAAAGGCTCTGACGTAAGTAATTTTTTTGGTGTGTTTCCGATAAAAGCTGTAGTAATCTTTAATGCCAACATAAAGCTTTTTTGGTGGAAGCGTCCTGTTTTACATCAGTTCCATTTCTAGAATACGGTGTGTAGCTTGCTACCAATGGAAATCATAACCTGGAAAAGAATAATCGTCTTTGTCAAAGCATTGAGAAGATATCACCAAGATAAGGCCATGGAGGATTCTATAAGTCTCGTGTACAAAGGTGGTGGCACGAGTTAAAAGCCTGGACAGAACGTTTGGGATTAAATCTGGAGCTTGTGATCTTTAGACAACTATCCACTGTGGACAATATGGCTCTACAACAATGGCTAGCAAGCTGGACAGTAGGCGCACTCTATATCAAATTTATTGTGCAACCATTGGACTTTCTTAGATATAACCATGCGGTACCATGAGTACACACCACGTTTGCTACTTACCATTGCGGCACACACAGACTTCAGCTAGAGCAGGGCCGCCACTGCAGCCCATGCATTCCCTGTCAACAATGAAGGAATCGTCAGGCGCCGCCCCCCCCCCCTAAAAACGTGATTCGAAAAGCTGCCATCCCATATTTCACGACGGGAAATTCTGACTGCACAAAGATAAAGATTGAGAAGAAAATATCCTTACATTTTTCTTGCAAGACTTCTATACACGCGGGTGGCTCTAGAGCTCTAGGATGGACGGGGCATTTAAGGATCATTTGATCAAGAATAATATCTATATTTGAAAAGCGATCCGAATGGGCAATGTGTATAGTTCCCATCTGCGGCGCTGTGTGTACATGAGGGAGGAACGCATTCATGGTTCCAAATGGCGTGAGTGGCATTGTCCTGGCCTGCTTTTCAAGCTTGGCATGTTTTGTGGTGATTTATGGCTCGATACATCCCCCGGCCGAAGAAGCCCAGTTACTCTCGAATAATGAAGCATTGGGTGGCAATTCATCCATGGTGAGAATGAATAAGGTGTCGAAAGAGATGCTCATGCAGATGGTGGCCAAGCATCCTGTGGTCACAACTATGTGTTTCAAGGAATCCACTGTCTTCAACGATGAAATCTTTGAGCAGCTAGGGCTTAATACACAGGGACACTACAATGGGACCAATGTCTCATCCCGCGTTGTTGTGTGGTTGTGGGTTACAAGACCATCTTTGACTAGAGTTGAACATTTTCTATCGGGTCATAAAATCTTAAACTATACTACAATAACAACAACAATACTTACAGAATTTGAGGCGTCCCGCTGAGAAAAAGTTGGGAAAAGTTTAAGGTATCTGCAACGGCAAATAAAGAACTTACCAGGACTTGAAAACGATTGAAGAGAGCACTAAGTCGTGATTGTCCATAGCTATCCACTGGTGAACCTCGAAGATATGGCCACAGTCGAAGCTCGATGAATCTGTCGGAGCTCTCACTCTTCTTCAGTGTCATAAGTATGATTGCGATGCCAAATGACGTAGGGATTTGCCATACAAGCCTATGTAGGGATACTATGAGCAGCTTCGTGCACGGGCTGTCACAGCGTGGCCTCTCGCAAATCTCGAAGCTTCTGAGATGCTAGCCGTTCCAGATGCAAGGCTCGAGGCAACGCTTGCAGGGTGCTTCACAGACGTCTGTGCATCAGCTGTGAAAGCAGCATTTCTCCTGTGAGAAAGGTGGGTGCGCAGTGGTGCCCGCAAAGAGATCTCTTTTGCACTGAAACTTCATGGTTCACCTTGATTGAAATTGTGGTCCATTTTTAAAGAAGCTTTTCCAAACATGACTCATGCAAAATGAAAAAACATGGACTTGAACCTCTTCAAGTTTATTGCTTGTTGTGTTTCGTAATTAGTCGTTCGTACCTCGCAGGAGAAGAACTTTATGGATTGCCAGACAGTGGTGGCACATCAGGTCGAGGTAAAAAACCTGTCACAGAAAGTGGCTACTATTATTATAATCGGTTCTGTTTCTTGAAGACTCACCAGGATCCCGTTTTCTCAATCCTGGAGGCGGTGATGCCAAATCTACTGGCGATGCCTGTTCCTCCAAGAGGACACGATCACCAATTGTATGCCCAAAAGCACCAGCTCTACAGGAAACTTGGTGTGTCATTGCAAGCATTATAATGGCAGACACAAGCAGCAGCACTAGAAAGCCCTTCATCTTTTCTTTGGCTCTGCCATTTTCGCGGTTCTTAAAGCCCTGACTGAGGGGTGCACAGTATTGACTTGTTGACTATGGACTTGGACTAAGCACGTGGGGAGACTTTCAGTTATGTTTAGAGAAGTAATAGGTTTTGGTATATTATTTTATTTTTGACTATATTTTTTCATGTGCTAAATCAAGATCATTTTTAGATGGATTGGGTAGAAATGTACAAATGTTTCTGGTTACTTAAGTTCAAGTGGCTTACTTAGTGTTTTGTTTATACTTGTCTAGAGATTTGTGTCCCAATAGCAAAATTTTGCTTAGTCTTTCCTGATGGGAAATATTTACCCATTGGGAAACTTCCAACGTTCCTTAAGAAAAATATTAACCTTTTTCTGCCATTCTAAAGTTCAATCATTAGTCTGTTTGGTCATTGGTCTTCTTCTGCTGTGTATGTTTAGAGCTGTAAAGAAGCCATGATCTACTCCCCATTCTTGTAGCACACTGGTTAACTTGAGTTATTGTTTGATTTTGAATAAGGTAAGCATAACTCTTGTTGAACTATGAATGGCCACATTTGACTAGATTATAGTTTCAGTTGTGCTTAGATGAATCTTAGGATGTGGTATTCCCTTTACAACAAGCCAAACAACCTTTTCATCATACTTATAGTTGATGAGTTTGCCAAAGTTCTATACCATTTATCATATATTTATCATTTCTCTATATTTATTGAGGAATATATTCATTACTGACCACAAGAAGAATTAAATCTTAAACCTCTGCTCATGGGATTTGAATTCAAAACTTACTATAGATGGATATATGAGATTGATTATATTTCTAGATTAATGGAGGTTGGACTAAATTAATTTCTAGAGTCCCTATAAAGGTAAGGTTTTAAAAGTTTTATATTATATTATTAATTTTCATCATTTCCCTTCCTCTTGATGATGAACTCTTGACAATTTAAACACTCTCCATATCAATATTTTCTCACATCCTCTTCAGTTGCAGTTAGATCTAGATACATTGTGAAAGCCATAGCAAGGATTATTTATTTTATTCAAACTATGAGGTCCAAATATACGGCTATGATGCTGTATCTTAATATTAGTATAGTGAGATTTTAGTAGCTATTGGATTGATTTCAATTTGGACTATTCGCTTCTATATATAAGCTAGAGCTTTTAAGTTAATTGATATAGACATTTTTTATATTCTTTTTTTATATTCCATGCACTCACATCAGTGGAGTTGAGGGGTATTTTTGATTGTCCTTGAGGAGTGATTTTGGCTTAGATTTAGCTTTTACAGCGTTTAGATCTAATTTTTTCCATTTTCTATCTTTTATTCTTTCCTTTTAGGATTTTGGTTTAAATTTAGCTTTTGCATTGTTTAGATTTTCTTTTCCTTCTAACTTATTTCATTTCTTTTCTTTTGCTATTTTCTTTTCATTCATCTTCATGGCAAAACAATAGTCTTCTCCTCCTTTGACTTTGAAACAATAGTTGGTGTAATTATTTGATATTGTGTGATTGCAATTGAATAACTAAACTCAGTTGATGGCAGCATTCACAACACATGGTACAGTTCCTCCTACTCTTGGTGCCAATCCTGGCATTCGGCTAAAGTTCTTTCAAAAAAACTTAAGGATGATGTGTACCATTGATTCAATCATTTTATAGTGATTGCCATATATCATTTTTGGGATGATGCTCGACATTGGCATGGGTCTCCCATATATCTTTAAGGGATGGCGCTGTAGTGGTATAATGGTTTGAGCACAGTCACTCGTGAGGATTAGAGTGTTCTCTCGGACATCTTCAAATGTGCATTCGAACATGCCAACGATTGTGATGATTAATGATGGTCACTCAAAGAGATCAAGATTTTACATGCAAATGTCAAGGAGATGTTGGAAAAGGGTGTTATTCGAAAGTCGCGAAATCCTTGGCATGTGAACTTCATCTTGTGATGAAGCCTAATGGGAGTATTCATTTTTGCATCGATTATCATCAATTAAATGAAGTGATGATCCTAGATGTGTATCCTCTTTTTCACACTGCTAATCTCTTGGATTGTCTAGGGAGAAGTTGTTAATTCACTAAGCTAAATCTTACAAGTATTGATGGTTACTCCCCCTTGTGTTATGGAAGGATGGTTGGGAGTCAATTATAGTTTCTTGTTTGTTTGAGTTTTGGCATTTGATCTTATAGGACCTTTTCCACAATCGACTGCTACCAATGAGTATGTTATTATTGCTTCTGACTACTTGATTCGCTGAGTGGAAGTTGAAGCTTTTGCTAGTGCCTTTACAACTATTATTAGGTACTTCCTCTTCAATCAAGTGGTGTTTTAGCAATCTTGTCCAGAGTGGATTCTTTCAGATAATGGTCCCATATTTATAACTGAGGCATTTTATATTTTAACATCTCAGTTGGGGATACATCACACTTTTATGAGTGTTTATCATCCATAAATAGACGGTTTGTTATAATAGCTCGTTCGGACATTTAAAAGGATGATCACAAAATATGTAAACTTTCAGCATTTAGATTGGGATGGTTATTTGCCATTTTTTCTGCATGTATATGTTATAGGGGTGTAGAGTTCTATTGGTGCTTCACTATAAAAATTCTTATATGGTCATAATCCAATATAACCAATAGAGTTGGGTTTACCTTTGTGATTACCATGAGTTGCCGATGCTAAGTCGTGGGATTAATATTTGATGAGCATTCTTCCACTTATCTAAGCAAATCTGCCAAATATCTAAACTGTGTACAAGTGGGACAACAATGGTGCTATAACTTCTACCATCATCCACCTGTGGAGTACAAAATGGATGAATTGATGTTAGTTTGTTTTCCCCATCTTATAGTACATGGTTTCTTTAAAGGGCTCTTTTCTTAGTGGAAAGGATTGTATTGGGTGTTACGGCAAGTTGGACCACAAGTTTAAAAGGTTCGGCATGACATCCAATAAATCAATCCTCCAGAAATTATATATGTATAGCAGTTAAAATGCTTCATACAAAAGGATCAGGAACAATTGGTACCACATACAAATCTACCAATGCCTCCTCTTAATGTTCCTTTAGATCTTGGTTTATCTATGAGAGAACCCTGATAGTCTTCTATCATTCTGAGAGGAGGGGATGATATGAGGTTTAAGTGTACGGCTACAATGTCGTATGCTAATATTAGCATAGTGAGAATCAGATTAGTTTCAATTTGTACCACTCACTCAGGTTTTTAGGTTAATTGATATGCATATATTCTATATTCTCTTTTTATATTCCATGCATTCACAAAACCATATTGAGCTACTTAAAAACCTATATAAAAATAAAAACACCATGTATGGAATGAAAACTATACTAACACCAAGATTTCTCACTGTTTCCCTGGTTTTTCTTCAAGGAAATTCAAGGGAAAAAATAAAATCCCAACTTTCGTACAAGCAGTAGCTTATCCAAGTTTGGACAAGCATGTTTTTTTGTTCTTTCCTAGATGTATCACTGACAGAAAACTATTCCAATGCTCTCTCCAACCATCATAGAAGTGGGAATATAACCTCACAACTTATACTTTTGATGATCAACTAAGAGAAAAAATTGTGCGACACAAATGAGCTTCTCGCAACACTAAAGTCTTGCAGCAAAAAGTAGGAACTTGAACAGTTGCTATCAAAGACTATTTTGAGAAATGCTATTAAGTTCATAAACCTTTCATAATAAGTACCATGAAATATGGCTATCATGTCAAACTGAAAAATGATCTGGGCAACGGGAGTGTGAAAGCCCAAAACCAGGTTGGCTGTAAATTGTTTTGACTAGTTGGAAGATTTGATTTGAAGATGGTTGAGCCGGATAGGAAGATGAGGTTAATAGGAGCCTGTGGATCACAGAAAGAAAGTAGTAACAACGTGTCCACCAAGAACTCCTATCCCACATGATTGGTGGTAATCTCTTTTTGATTCTGTGTAAATTTGCCACAAGGAACAATCCTAAGAGCAAGTGCAAGTTAGTATAATACATATCACTTGCTATTTAATTACTAAACTTGATTGAATTTGGTCAGAGTATTTACAGCGAGTTCACCTTAGAGTTCAAGTCTGTGGAAGAGAAAAAATGGGTTGTGAAAATTTGTGGATCTCTGGCTGAGTCGCAATGGAAGTCTATTTTCATCAACCACCAGAGTCAACTCTCTAGAACATTCCACCCATAGATAATATCTCACCAGAATCTGGAAAGGTCGAGCAGTGAGAAAAGCCAAAAATTTACTAGGAATTGGTTATTAGGTAAGTGTAATCAGCAAGGACTTTTATCTTTAAGTAAGGACTATTTAAAGATCAGTCAGTTAGGACTTCCGTTTCTCAAAGCATGCGTTTCAGGTTCGATTCTGGTCGATATTACAAAAGCTAAGATATTCTTGAGTTATATCTCCTTTGCTGGAGGAATGACCGCACCTCCGTTTGCTCCACATTTTTGTGGAAGAGAAGAATTGGTTGGAGGCTTTTGTGTCGCTGGATAAAAGTTTGTGGATCTCACATTCCTGAAACAGTACCGTTTATCGAGTATTCGTGCTTGAGCGATTCATGGCGTGGATGGCTATGCCGACGACGGTGCTCAACAATCATCCTCCGTCACTGCTCCCTTCTTCCTCAGCTCCTTTGCTAGAAGCTCTCAAGAGAACCGGCGAGGAGCGTGTCGCTGCATTTCACTTCCCAGGCCACGGCCGCGGCTCCTCAGCGCCCTCTTCGATTTCCAAGCTTCTCGGAGCTCAACCCTTCCAGTTTGATCTCCCGGAGCTGCCAGGCCTGGATAACTTGCACTCGCCACAAGAAGCTATAGCCGAAGCGCAGCAAATGGCCGCCGAGCTTTTCGGAGCAGGGTACTCGTGGTTCTTGGTGAACGGCTCTACGTGTGGAATTCAAGCGGCGGTGATGAGCTGCTGCAAGCCCGGAGACGTTTTGATCCTCCCCAGGAACGCCCACGTCTCGGCATTCTCAGCCATGGTTCTTGCTGGAGCAATGCCTCACTATGTTCTTCCTTGTTATGACGAGCTCTGGGAGATTTCTCACGGCGTCTCCGCCGAGAGCATCGAGTTGGCCATCTTGGATCTGCAGAAAAGAAAAGACGTGAGAATTGGAGCTGTTCTGATTGTCTCGCCAACTTACTTTGGAGTGTGTAGCCCAGTGGAGGAGATCGCAAAGGTGTGTCACGAGCATGGTATCCCGATCATAGTTGACGAGGCTCATGGAGCGCACTTCAAGTTCCACTCGAGGTTTCCTGCAACGGCACTCGAGCAGGGAGCCGACGTTGTTGTCCAATCCACGCATAAGGTACTCTCGTCTCTTACGCAGTCCGGGATGCTCCATCTTGCGAGAGGCTGCGAGATTGTAAAGCACGAGAGAATTAGCAAGTGCCTTCGAACCTTGCAAAGCTCCAGTCCGAGTTACCTTCTCTTGGCCTCTCTCGATGCCGCAAGGGACCAGATGAGTTGTGCAGCAAGCGATGACCATCCATTGTTTGATACAGCTCTGGAGCTGGCTTCCACAGCTCGACGACGCCTGAAACAAATCCCACAAGTTTTAGTCCTTGATAGAGAAAATGTGAGCTTGGCAGCCAAAGCTGATACCATTTTCGATGAGCTTAGGATCACCATTGGTTTGTGGGAGCTCGGAGTCACAGGAACTTTTGCCGATGACTTTCTGTGCGATAAATGCAAGGTGGTGGCCGAGCTTCCTCTTCTGAACTCCATAACTTTTGCTATGGGAACCGGCACTAGCAGCAGCGACACTGAGAAACTTATCGAAGGCTTTCAAGAGCTTTTGAGTTCTTCCAGATTGACGATAGATTCTTATTCCAGACCCGGAGTGCCTGATTGTTACAAAATCGGATGGAAAGCACTAGTTAGTCCAAGAGAGGCATTCTTTGCAGAAACTTACTGCTGCAAAGCTGACGAAGCAGTGGGTCTAGCGAGTGCTGAGCTCGTGTGCCCGTATCCACCTGGTATTTCTGTGCTCTTTCCTGGAGAGCTCGTCTCGCAGGAGGCTCTTGCCTATTTGAAGCAAGCCCATGCTTCGGGAATTACCATCAGTGGAGCATCAGATCCAACTCTTTCCACACTTCATGTCTTGAAGTGACATCACAAAGATCCAGCTGCAAAGAAAAAAACAAGAGTTAGATAAATGCAAAGTCATAGAAACTTCATTACGTACCGATCACTTCAAGGTTTTCATTGTTTGAGCCTGAGTATATGTTTGCCATGAGAGCATAAGCTGTACCACCTTGATCGTCAACCTTTGATAGAGCATCAAAGGCTACCTCTCCAATCACCCCATTTTTCCACTTGAAACAAGCCCCAAGCAAAGCCATCCATATCCTGGAGCACACCTCTTTCATCGGCAGGCTTTCCACCACCGCAAGCGCATCCTCCAGCCGATTAGCACGTCCAAGTAGATCAACCATGGAGATTACGTGCTCCACACTCGGACTAAGTCCATAGTCCGAGCACATCGCGTGAAAGTATTCCATCCCCTTGTCGACCAAACCAGCGTGGCAGCAGACCGATAGAACTGAAGAGAATGTCACAGCGTCCGGCTTGGCGAACTCTTGCATTCTCTCGAACAGATCAAACACCGCGTCACTGTCCCCTTGACGGCTGTATCCCGCGATCAGTGCACTCCAAGACACTGCGTCCTTGTCTGGAAACCCATCAAACACTCGCCGAGATTCCACCATGTCACCACACTTGCCGTAGAAACTTACGAGCGAGTTTGCCACCGCCGGAGAGCTCTCGGCCCCAGCTTCTTCGATCAGACGATGGATTGCCTGTCCAGCCTGTAGTGCTCCAAGACCACCACAGGCCTTAAGTACCGATGCAAAAGTCTGCGAGTCCGGTTTCAGTCCTTGGAGTCCCATTTTCGAAAACTCCTGCAGGGCCAGCTCATGGTTTCCACTCTCGGTGTAGGCTTCGATCATGATGTTCCACGAAACCAAGTCTTTGATCACCATTTTGTCAAAAACTCGAGCCGCATCATCCAAACTTCCACACCAAGCGTAGAGACTGATCAAGTTGTTTGCAGCGTAAACATCTTCCAGCCCGTCGAGAAACCGGGAATGAAAAGCCAATGCCTTCTCCAGCGACGCCACTTTCAAGGGCCTTCCATCCACAAGCCGAGCCTCTTCCTTCTCGGCCATATCCAAGCATGCCTGGAGAACGGCCACCAAAGTTCTCGAGCTGACGACCACGTCTAACGCTTGCATGGCCGTGAATAACTCGAGAGCTCGCTCGGCCTCGCCACCTTTTGCATATCCCATGATCATAACATTCCAGGAGACCGAATCCCGCTCTATCATCCCATCGAAAACTCGCCGGCAATCCAGCAATCTCCCCCACTTTGCATACATATCCATCAGACTGTTGGAGACGAAAACGCTGGACGAAATCCCTGTCCCTGTTCTTGCAAACTTCGAGTAAATCTCTCCGCCCCTGTCCAGCCATCCCAGGTTCGTGCAAGCGTCGAGCACGGCCACCAGAGTCCGAGCATTCGCCTCCACTCCATCTTCCAAAAGCATAAGCTCAAAGAGCTCCAAGGCTAGCTCGTCTTCCCCTCCTTGCGAGCAAGCGCTGATCATGGCACTCCACAAAACCACGTCCTTTGTTCCCAACTTGGCAGCCTGGAAAATCTCTAGAGCTTCTCTCACGCTGCCACACTTTCCATAGAAATCCACCAGGGCGCTGGCCACGAACCTGTCCACCAAGAATCCACCACTCTGGAGCTGGGAATGAAGAGCCAATCCTCTCTTGAGGCTCCTGAGCTTGATGATCCTCCCCTGTAAATCTCTCACCCCCTTTTCTGTAGCGGCCAGCGAAGAACACGCCTGGAGAGCCGCGACGAAGCTCCGGCCGTTTGGATCCAACCCCTCGGCATGCAGCAGCCCAAAGAACAGAAGCGCGAGATACGGCTGGCCGCACCGTGCGTAGCCGCCGATGACGCAGTTCCACGACGCCGCGGTGCGCCGATCCATGGCATCGAAAATGCGGCGTGCCTCATCCATCCTGCCCCGTTTCGCAAATCGATCAATGATTGCGTTGATCAAGCCGATGTTCTTACCGGAGAGGAGATCGCGCTCGCGGCGGTCGCCGTTTAGCTGGATTGGAGCCATTTCTCTCACCGCGACATTGATTTGCCCAATCATCTGATTTTAGGGCTCTTGAGGTTTAGAGACGAAGAACAAATCCTGACCGTTAAAAACAATCGTAGTAAAATCTGGGCAGATGTGGTGGCGCTCTGGCGGCTATCTGGCGGTGGAGGAGCGGCGCTGTGGAAAATTTTCATTCAGAGAACTTATATAACTCATGACCATTTTTGGGTTCGTTTTCTTTCTTTTACAGGAAAATAAAATAGTAATAACATTAGGAGGATAATGAAAATGCAAAACTGTGCTTGCTCTAGGCAAACTCACTGGATGCCGAGAGAGCGTTCTTGTGAGATTTGATCAGGCCTCCCAAAACCTGGCCGTGTTTTCGATACGGTCCTGGATCTGCCAATCTACGATCCTTGCCTGGGTACATTTACAGACGAGCAGAGGGACGGGAATGAGCTACCAGTTGTTCTCCTCCCTTCTTCATTCATAGAAACAGCGCGAGAAATCTCGAACAAAACTCTCCTGTCGATTTTCCTTCCTTGGCCGAGTGGTTTAATCCACCACTGAGCGAACTCCCAACACGCAGAGCGCCACTATCGTCCTTGGATCCCACCACGCGGTGGTCGTCAAGTATTTTGGGAAGAGGAGCGCCGCCCCGATCCATCTAGATCCCGTCCTCTTACCTCTAAAATCGGGGAAGCGCTTCTGCCAAGGACGAAACGCTGGCCTCGGGCAGCGAGAATGCGGGTCGATCCGGGATTTAACAGAGTGCATATGGTTCAAGTAGATGGTATGATATATTGTTATTGGAACCCGGTTGCTGAGATGATGGCTACCAGGTAAGTGTAGAGGTAAACCGGTGTAGAAGACCCGGGTTCGATGCCGAAGGGTCCAATCAACAAGGACTTTCATGAAAAAATCTTTGCTCTTTAAGTAGCCCTTGTTCTGGTTCGCTAGCTCACTAAAACAACTTAAACCAGTAAGTTAGGACATCGGTTTCCCAGAGCATGCGTTTCGGGTTCCATTCTTGCCAATGTAAGGATATTCGCATGTTAACCAAAAATGTTTATAATTCTTAAACTCAAATCAGGATTGAAGAAAACATCATTTAATATTATTAATCATAAAATAATAAGAAAGAGAGCTTTCACTTTATTCCCATCATTTTACCGCTCTCTATTCTATTTGGATTGTTCTTGGCTGTGGCTTGGGGATCTTTGGAATTGTGACAGTGAGGACACCGTGTTCTACTGTAGCGTTGATCGCCTCCACATTCGCACTCTCGGGCAGCCGGAATTTCCGCAAGAAGCTGCCGTGGCTGCGCTCCACGCGGTGCCACTGATCTGGAGAGTGCGGCCGTCCTCCACGCTGATCTTCACTTCCTCTCTGCTCACACCCGGGAGATCGGCCTTGAAGATGTGTGCCTCGGGTGTCTCGAGCCAATCCACGCGAGTGTTGGCGAAGTGTGGCGCTGTCCAAGAAGCCAGGAAGATCTTCGACGCCATAGCTGACAAAAACGTCTTCTCCTGGAACATCATGATCGGGGCATACGTAAACAATGGCTTGGACGAGCACGCTCTGGATCTCTATAAGCGAATGGCGCCGGCTCTTCCAAGCGCCGTCACCTTTGTCTCGGTGCTCGAGGTGTGCTCCAGCTTGGTGGACGTGAATTCTCTCCATGGCCGGATCAAAGAGCTCGGGCTGGAAACCAATCCAGTCGTCGCCACCGCGCTCATCAACGCGTTTAGCGCTGCTGGAAGCTTGCTCTCGGCGGAAGAAGCCTTCCACTGCGTGGATTGCAAGGACGCTGTGTGCTGGACGTCGATGATCACCGCATTTGCCAGGAATGGAGACGGCATTGGAGCTCTCAAGACGTTCTCGCGGATGAACTTGGAAGGTATTTTTCCGGAATTTAACAAAGTGCCATGGATGCCATATGGTTCAAGTAGATGGTATGATATTTTATTATCGGAACCCGGTTGCTGAGATGATGGCTACCAGGTAAGTGTAGAGGTAAACCGGTGTAGAAGACCTGGGTTCGATGCCGAAGGGTCCAATCAACAAGGACTTTTATGCAAAAATCTTGCTCTTTAAGTAGCCCTTGTTCTGGTTCGCTAGCTCACTAAAACAACTTAGACCATTCAGTTAGGACATCGGTTTCCCAGAGCATGCGCTTCGGGTTCGATTCTTGCCAATGTTACTTGTAAAGCAAAGAATATTCGCATGTCGTTCTGCCGAAGATAAAAAGCTTTTAGTGTCTTCCAAGTCTTCCAGTTTGAGGCCTGTGTCCTTCCCTCACGTCCTCTAAGAAAGCCAAAGGAACGTTTTGATCGGCTTACCTTTAGAGAAAGCTCTCTTAGAGAAAGCTCTCCAAGCGCGAGAATGGTCGCGAATTTGGCCAAGTGACTTGAAAAGTGTAGGCATTATTCTGGGGTTCTTTTGGGGAGCTTCGCGATTTGGCGATGGGTAAATGATGCATTCCCCCGTGAAAATCCAGAAAACTCGCTACAGTGGGAACAGTAAGATTTCCATCAGCATGGTATGTAGTCTCGTCTAGACTGGTTTTTCTTCGAGGTATTCAAAGGAAAATCCTGATGTTCGTATAAGCAGTAGCATTCTGGATCGATGGAAGGAACTACATGGTAGCTGCGGCAGGCAACGCAATTTCCTTGAGAGGTACGTGCAATTAAATTCGACAAGGATCTCAAGTCATGTTTCCTTGTTCTTTGCTAGATGTATCATTGCGAGAAAACAATTCCAATGCTCTCTCCGAGGGTCGCAGATGCAGGAATACAAACTCGCAACCCAGGGAAACTTGTAGCTTCGATGATCAACGAGCATTCAACTCCAGCAACTTGAAGAGAAAAGATAGTACGACACGAACGAGCACTCAAGCGATCCTTGCGACACTAAAGTCTTGCGGCAGTGAGGAGGAACTTGAACAAGTGCTCGACAAATGCGGATGAGATGGGAACGTTTTCCTGGCCAACACGTCGTGGGAACCTGGACGAAGCTCGGTGAGTTTTCGACGGCATGAAGCAGCGAACCGTGGTGAAGGCCTATGCTCCGAGTGGAGAAAAGGATTTGGCCCTGGAACTTTTCTCCACCATGCTGGATCAAGGCTTCCAACCGGACGGGAGAACCTTTGTGGCTGTTCTTGGTGCCTGCGCCAGGTTCGCAGCGGGAGGGCAGGGAGGTGGCTGGAAAAAAGGTGAAACTGGTCTCTCTGGAGAGAGCAATGGCTTGTCACTCAGAGCTTTTCAGGAGGGGCCTTGAGTCTAACCGGTTTCAGGCAAGCTCGCTACTCGACTTTTACGTAAAGTGTGGATCTCTGGAAGACGCTCGACGAGTTTTTGACAGGATCCAAGACTGCAGTGTGTCGCTGTGGAACGTTATGATCCTTGGACATGCGGTGAGCGATCAAGGCGAGGTGGCTCTCGAGCTCTTTTCTCTCATCCAACGCACTAGAGGTGGTGAGCCCGGACATTCCTCGCGGTAGCCGTTGCCTGCACGAGTCTGGCAGCTGGAGAAAGTGCAGAACTTCTGCAGGGAAAACTTATCAAGGTGGTCAGTTTGGAATGAACTTTGTACGCGAAGTGCAGTGGACGCTAGTCGGGTCTTTAAGAAGATGCGAGAACGCGACGTGGTGCTGTGGACTGCTTTGGTTCTGGGATTCGTGGAAAACAAAGAGGATGAAGCGGCCTTGGAGGTTTTCTCTCGCATGCTGCGGGACGAAAGCTTTTCACCGGACTGATCAAGAACTTCCGTCGCTGTCTTGAGGACCTGTTCAAGCCTTGCAGCCAAGGAGGAAAGCCAGAGACTCCAAGGACGAGATCTTAAAGTCAGGTGGCTGGAAACAGGCATGGCTTTGCATGCTTTGCTCGCCGAGCTCGGGCACAGCACAAACATTTTTGTGGCAAGGACATGTACACGAAATGTGGAATCATGGACAATGCCCGGCTGGTTTTCGATAGCATGCCAAGGCACAGTGTGGTTCCGTGGACTGCTATGGTCTCGGGATATATGGAGAGCATGAAAGCGAGCTTTCGTTGAAGTACTTTGAAGCAATGCTAGCTCAGGCTTATCTTCCAGCGCTCATGGCCTGCACAAGTCTGGCGGAGAAGGAAGAGGAGGCAGCGGGTTTTCCAGGCGACGGAACAATGGTGGTGAAAGTTTTGAGCCTGGAGAGAGGCATGGTTGTTCACTCTCGAGCTCCAAGATCTGGTGACGAGTCCAACTCGTTCGTGGCAATGTCGCTTATCTACATGTATATGAAGTGTGGCAACCTTGGTGATGCGAGCGAGTCTTTTCGCGACGAGGCATCAAAGCTCGGTGCTGTGGAGTTCGATGATAATGGCGCTTGCAGAAGGTGGTGAGGCGAGAAGGCTATGGATTTGTTCCAGAGGATGCAAGACGAAGGCGTGGAACCAGACTGTTGGACTTTCATCACGGCTTTTAAGTCCGTGCTCGGGCCTTGCTAGCAAACCGGAGAAAACGAAGAAACTTATTGGAAGACAGCAGCAGCAGCGGCAAAGGTGGCTGGAAACAGGGATGGAACTTCAGTCGCGAGCAGCAAAGCTGGGATTCGAGATAGATATCTTCGTAGCCAACACTCTGGTGGACATGTACTCCAAGTGCAAGCGCATGGACATGGCGAGACGGGTCTTGAAAAGGATACAGCAGCGAACTATAGTGGGATGGAACGCGATCATCGGTGGCTACGTCGAGGCCGGGGAGAGCCACACGGCTTTAGAGCTCTTCCAACGTTTGCAGCAGCAGCAGCGAGAAGATGTGGCACGAAAGTTCGAGCGTTTGGTGCCGCATCTTCTCGTGCCGGCACTCAAGGCCTGCGCGATGCTTGCATTGCTCGAGGTTGGGAGAAAGATTCATGCCAGCATCCGCGAGGCCGGGCTCAGCGACTGTGTTCTTCTGGCCAACGCACTCATCGAAGTGTGGAAGCATGGGCGGTGTTTGCATCGATCCGCAAGCCTGGAACAACTTCTCGCCGAGTCGGTGCTGGAAACTTTCGAGAGGATGAGGAAGGATCGATCGGTAGCTCACGACTTTCCTGTGGCTTCTCAGCGCTTGCAGCCACTCGGGGACTGCAAGCGCTACTTGGAGGTCATGGGCCATCGCTGATGCTGCTGTTCCTGCTGTCTTTCTCCGAGGATTGCCATTTCTGCGAGAGCGGTGTTCGCTTGGAGCTTTTCCAGCTTGCTCTTGAGAGCCCAAGAGAATGAAGCAAAAAAAAATGTGGCGTTTTCAAATTTCCCGCTGGAATGCCCAATTTAGGGTTCTACTCCAGGGTTTGGGGCAATCGTCGATATTTCTCCGCGAGCGCGCGCGCGCGCGGCCAGATCTCGATCTTTCTCGTTCTCCTCGCTTGCGATCATGCTGTGCTTTGGCTTGCGTTTCCCCACGCCTCCCGCGAGCGTTCCGGACGAAAATCTCCTCAAGGATGCGAGAAAGCAAGGTAATCCGGTGCTCCTGGGCCTCCTCGAGGATGGAGACAAGCCTGTCTTGATCAGCTTTGGCAACAGGCATGTGGACACGCTCCTCCGTCTCGTGAAGGCAGCGGATTTCGAAGGAATGGAGAAGAAGCTGTCGAGAATCAAGAAAGAAGTGGACGAAATTCTGCGGCTAGTCACCGACGAGGCCTCCCGGGTCGCTGTGAATGCAATGCAGGTGGATATCGGACTGGGACTGATCGACACATCGCCAAAGCTCCTCGTCTTTGACTGCATGCGGATCTTCTCGGACAGGCTTACGAGGATCTACCGCAAGACCTGCGAAAAGGAGCTAAGCTCTGCGATCAGAGCTTCATTCGACAAGCCACTCCGCAAGGCCTGCAAGGGACGCACTCTCCACGCGAAGAAAGCGGATTTGACGTGCTCCGCGACTTTCGTAATGTTCTCGGCTGGCTTGTACCAGGCTATGCAGGAACCCGTGGAGAATGGCCTCTCTGAAGAACCCGTGAAAAGTCTGGCTAACTTCTACCGAGGCGTTGTCGAAAGGTACGTTGCGAACTGGATATGGACAGCCTTGCTAACGTGCAAACTTCTACTTCTTGCAAACTTCAGGTACGTTGTGGAATCCAAAGGAGAGCTTGACGAGGAGGCTGAAGATCTCTTCAAGGCATTGGCACCAGAAAGCAAGCCAGAACTCGAGCTCGTTCTGAAGGAGTGGGCGACCTTCTACAGTCAACGTGACAAACGCAACAAAGCTGCTCACCCCGCAACTTTCATCGAGGGCCCTCAGGAGGATACTCAAACCGAGTATGCACGCCTGGTCTACATGAAGGAGGCGTTGGAGATCCTGAGCAGGGGCAATAACCTTGACGTGGTGGGGAAATGTGCGGTCGTGCACTATCGAAACTACTTGGAGCATCACAGGCCGGCGAGTATGTTTTGGTTTCTTACCAGAAATCTTTATAATGGTGAAGTGCAGGTGCTGGAGGTGCTGGAGAATCGAAGGAGTAAAGGAAAGCTACGAGTGGTAAAGCCGGCTATGCCTGGTATGTTTTCGCCAGCTTTTCGTTTTTCCCTTTTCTAATGGTTTGCAGGTCCTGGCGGCGGGACTGAGATTTTTTTTTCCAGGCTTTTCAATCGCCAATTGTATATTCATCTCTGTTCCAATAAAACGCTCGTTCGGTTCTCATCCACTGAAAGCTCTTTATCAGTTTCTAAACCAGCAAGAAACTTCTCCAGGCAAGTCCCTCCGATCCAGAGAATTTCCCTTTCATTGTTCTCGGCAACAAGGGCGACGTAGATGGACGGAGATCCTGGCTTTAGTTTGTGTGAATGTTCTTGTGAGATTGTTTGTTTCCTCCTTCCAGGAATTCGATTCGTTGTCGAGCTTTAAATTTTTCCAGCATTGTAACCAGCTCAACAACCAGGTCGAGAGGGCTATGGGAAGAATCATGGAGCGAAGCGTTTCTGAAAGGAAAAAAATGGAGAACAATCGGCCTACCAGGAAGAATCCGCCGAGCTACGAGAAGCCTTGACGAGCTTTCGGGCTCCCTCCATCTCAGAATTTAAATTTAAAAGGGTCTATTATTAATATTTAAACGTTGATAGGATTATTAGTTTTGGGTTAGGTCAAGTGGGTTGTTCAAGGATGCTGTCTGTTGGGCGGAGCTTCTTCACGGGCAAGGATCGCTTCTTGGATGCGAAGAAGAAAAAGGTGGTGTTTGTGGGGTCTTTGCCTTGTACTCGTCAGCGGGTACCTGGTGTGATGTGCTGCAGCACCAAGGAAGATTTCGAGACCATGCGACAGAAGCTGCCTTCTATGGACCTGGGTGGTTTGGAGCGGCCTCTGGGAGATCTCGCAGACGTGATCCACAACCTGGGTGCTTGGGTTGATGCACGCGAGGCGCTGCAGTCCGAACTGAAGATGAAGGTCAACTACAGCCGCTTGACCGGGGGCCCTCTTTTCTTCCTTGTCTATGACTGCATCAGGATGGTCGCTGAT